TAGAATTGTTCCTTCTTCTGTTAAAAAGGACAGATTTGGTTGTAATGCAAAGCTAATCCTGAATTGTTCTATTTGAAATTACTAGCTTTAGCACTTTTAATATTGTATGACTGACTGGCACCTTGTGTTTCATCACCATGTTTTTAAAACTCTCATATGCATAACTAGGTTTGAGAGACATTGTTTGTATTATATTTTATCTTTGGGCCATGTGTGGTTTTCTGGGTTAAGCATGTGATAAGAATTCCCCAGCATGTTGTAGAGCTGTATGTTTATGAATGTGTTCTTTGTGCTTCATGGACTATAAAAATATAGATAAGACTTTAACTTGGCTACTTTGAGTCTTTGTAGGTAATTATAAAGTTGAAGTAAATCAAGAAAAATAAATTAGAGCACTATTTTTGGGGATCCTCTTCTCTGGCTCAACCTTTGGGCACGATCAGTAAGTTGCTAAATTGCAGTCTCTCATCAGATGACAGAGGCAGGTAAGTTTTTTTGTGCACGCTGATACGTGCTCTTTCTCTCATCAAGCTGACATTTGACTTTTGTTGAGTCGTTCCTCTCACACCTAGTGTCAGATCTGACCTAATACATATTTTTAAATATGCCTAGCTTAGGTTGTGATTACTTGGAGAAAAGGGAACACAAATTGTGAACGTCCTTAGTGCCTCTCATGTACTATCATATATAAATGCTACATGTAAAGGTTTGGGCAACTCATTCACACTATTAAACAATGTTTGAAAATGCAAATAGGTCAAGAAGAGGAATAATTAATAATGGAGATAATTCTCAGCCATGAGAGAACAAAGAAGTAGTAATGCTGAATATCTATTTGTACACTACTGAACGCAGTTGAGGCTTTTTGTAGGGAAGTGAATTTCTCTATAAGGGATTTTTACAAGTGGACGTATCTGCATTTTGTGGGCTTTGTTGGTAGTTAATTGAAGCCATCTGCAGGGTGTTAATTTAATAGTAGAAGGTAAGAAGGGTGAGGATTTAGTGTCATTGCTCTGTAGATGCTATAAAAGTTGAGACAGTGTGATCATTAAGAATAGAACAAATGTCCAGGACTAGAACAGACATCCAGTAGCGTGAAAGGGTTAGGCAATATGCAAGAAAAGCAAAGAAATTCTCTTTGATGGGTTTTAGTACTTCTAAAAGCTCATAGAAAATAACATAGCCTAACTGCTAAGCTAGCATTTCCCAGGGAAGATGATATGGAATTAGCTGTGTTAGACTTGTGGAAAGAGAAACAGACAGTTAAAAGGTTTGTTGACAATATTATGCAGACAGGCAAAAATCATTAAATTTAAAAAGTGAAAAATTAACATAAAAGCTATTGCTTCCAGCAAAATAACGGCCTCATTTTAGATCTTGTATCTGCCCAATTGACTGAACTGCTGTTCTATGGTGTGACTTCAGTCACACTCGCTGTGTTCAGTCACATTGGTTTTGCTGTGCTTTGTGCACATTGGTATGCTCTGTGCTTTGAAAAGGTGCAGTTTCCCAAAGCCGAGTCCCACAGAGTTGGTCTAAGAGATCACTATTAAAGACAGTTTTGATTAAAACTCAGGACACCAAATGAGGTCCCGCAGCGGGAGAAGTGAAGGTCACTTTTCAAAATGGACAAGCTGAATGCTTGGGAGAACTGAGCACTCTGACAGCTGGTCTTCCGCATGCTTAGAGAATCATAGAATTGCTCAGGTTGGAAAAGACCTTAAAGGTCATCAAGTCCAACCACAACCTAACCATACCACCATAACTCTAACAGCCCTCTGCTAAATCACGTCCCTGAGCACCACATCCAAACAGTTTTTAAACACATTCAGGGATGGTGACTCAACCACTTCCCTGGGGAGCCCATTCCCATGCATAACAACCCTTTCTGTAACAAAGTTTTTCCAGACATCCAACTGAAACCTCCCCTGGCACAACTTGAGGCCATTTCCTTTCATCCTTTTATAGAAAAGAACAGTAAAAAAAAAGCTGGTACGGGATGCTCAAGTAAAGCTCCAACTTCAGAGCAAAGAGGTTTTGTGTTAAGCAGGTGTAGTAAAACTCTGAAAAATGGAGTTTATTCTAGGAGACTTTGGAGTTACTGCGCAGAATCAATAAGGCAATTCAGAACGAATAGCTGATTGACGGATTTCAAATATAAATATGAGGAATGAAAAGAAAAGAGTTTCTGGGAAGTTTCTGTAAGGATTGTTTCTGCTGAACATTTATAGAAATGATCTGGAAACAACTGAAACTTGCAGCTGGCGCATGTGGTCAGGAGAACACAAAGCAGTGCAAGTCATTTGGTGAACTAACAGATTCATCAAAAATGCGTCCTTGTAAAGAGGGCTGAATAGAGGTTGTGTTTTTTGAATGGTATCTGTGGTGTGTGCTGGAGAAGCAAGGAGCCTGGGAGTTAGGGTGATGTTTCCAGGTAAACAGTATAGCAAAACCATAATGCAATGAGAAAATACTTTTCTTTCAAATGTGGAATTGGCACAGCAGATGATGGCTCCATCAAGCTTTACCTTAAAGTGCCCTGTGCTTTTGTTTTTTTTTTTTTGCTGTTGTTTTTTCCCCCCCCACTTTTATATCTAACATCCTACTTAAGTTTCAGTGTAAGCAGAGGGCACAGATAGACCAGCTCTATTTCAGAATTTTCTTAGTACATAGTAAACTCAATTCATATTTTTACAACATCATTTTTCTGCTTAACTCTCACACACATGATATGAGAGGTGCATTTGGACATTGTTACCAGTGGTAACAATGCCTACCAGTGCTTTGCTTTCCAGAGGCACTGTACTGCTTTCTTTTCCCTGCTGTTGGTGTCTGACTGCATCATGCTGCCAACTCGTCTTGGGTACCCTTGGCCAATTGGCATGCTCCTAATAGCAGCCTGGGATTGTGTTCCTTTTAATCCACACTACAAACACATTTTCTTCAAGTGTTCTTGAGAGAACATTTAGTTCAGTCCCTATGAATATTTGGCTATGACTGAGAAGACACTGAAGTCTGCTCTTTGGAGGTAATCCTAATCACAGACATCTGTGCCAGACTTTGCTTCAGTTGAACCGCAGCACAGACTATAATGTTTGAGGTGCTGGCTTCAATCTGCAGGGACACTGTTGACCTGCAGCAGCTGGCTGTGGTGTGGGGACTCGCTCAGCAGCCCCCTTTGTGGATTTGGTATGGATACAGTCTGGAAAAAATCTAGGGAGGATTATATCGGTTGTAGGTTTGTTAGTTAGTTTGTTTTATTGGTTCATGCAGCAAATGTCACACATTTATTAAGGGACTGCAGCACCTCTCCTGTGAGGAGAGGCTGAGGGAGGTGGGATTGTTCAGCCTGGAGAAGAGAGGGTCTCATCAGTGTCCATAAATACCTGAATTGAGAATGCAGAGAGGATGGAGCCAGGCTCTGTTCAGTGATGCCCAGAGATGGGCAATAAGTGATGGGCACAAACTGACAGATGGGAGGTTCCTTCTGAATGTTAGGAAGCACTTTTGTGCTGTATGAGTGGCACAGGTTGCCTGGAAAGGTTGTGGAGTTTCCTCCTCTGAGGTCTTCAAAAGCCACCTGGACATGGTGCTGGGTACACTGCTCTGGGTGGACCCAGAGGTTCCCTTCTAACCCTAACTGTTCTGCAAATCTGTGAAATCTTTCACGCAGGCTTTGTTTCAACAATGATGTGACTCAAAGTGTTGCACAGAAGGCCAACATTCCTAGTTTTCTTCCAGTATTCAGCGCTGCCCTTCTGTTGTCCTACCCCTGCCCAATGAAGGGTCATTGCCGCAGCATGCGGCCCTGAGTCCTGTGCTCCCGCTGCCCCTGCTGGGTGCTGGACAAGCAGGTCTCTGCCAGGCACAGCAAGCCTGCTGCCGGATGCCCCTGGGAGCTTCCATTGCTGTGCCTGGTGTGTATGCACGTGCTGGCTCTGTTGGGTGCCACTCAGGACAAGAACGAATGAATTACAAGATACCAGCACTCTACAGAGAGCAAACGGGGCTGTGTGGTGCAGCGGCCCACATCGGCCCTCTTGGCTAAGGAGACAAAAGGGAGGGGTTCACTTGACAGAAGGGATACATTTTTCAGGGCAACCCTAGCAGATATAAAGTCTAAAAGTCGTAAAGCCAGGGTTACCAAGGAGATGAGCAGGTGTGGGCTGTTCATTGGAAGGGGTTGAGGGTGATGGGGAAGAGTAAGAAGGGAGATGCGGTGGGGCTCTGTGAGCGTCCCAGTGCCTGCCAACACTGCTGCTTAGTGAACAGCTGCTGAGTTGTCACAATCTGGCTTTGCAAATAAAAAGTGTGCTGTATGATCGTGTTTGTTCCGTGCAGCAGACCGCGCTGGTTATATTTTGTTAGAAATGGGAGCTGGAGCAGAACGCCCCACGCAGGCACGGTGCTGACGGAGGGGCCGTGCTGCGCTGCTGCCGGGGCGAGCTCTGGCTGTGTGCGGTGAGAGCGTTTAAGTGAAGGGTGAATGCAGCAAAGGGAATTTACAGCAAAAAGGGCGCTGACTCGGGGAAACGCGGCACAACCCTAATTCTCGACTCTTTACGTGAGGAGGCAGCAGCTTGTTGCCTCAGGGCTCATCGCCAATCTGACTGCTGTTTACTCGGCAATAACGCTTCCGCTCACTTGTACCGCCGTTAACGTCCAGAAAATTCAACATATCATCAATGTATGTTATGGTGCAGGGGCACCGTGCACTACAGGTCCGGCCCCTAACTTCACATCGAAGCCGGCGGCGGTAAGGGCGCAGCACAGCCCCTCGGACACACGCCCTCCCCGACGCGAGGCGCGAACAGCACTGCGCATGCGCCATCGAACGCGGCGCGCAGCCCCGGGCAGGGCGGCACGACCGCAGGGGGGCGCTGCGCGCGCGCGGAGCTCCGCCCTCCTCCTTCCGCCGGGCCTCGGCCCCGCCCCTCCCTGGCGGCGGGTGGCGGCGCCGCAGCGAGGCGGCCATTTTGTGGCGCTGCGCGGTCGGTGGCGCTGGGCTCGGCGCGGAGCGGGGCCCGGGGGCGGTGTTAGCGCCGTTCTTAACCCTTTTTCCCGTACAGATCCCTCGGTAAGAGCGCGGCGGCGCCCGGACGGGCCGGGCCAGCGCCGACCGCCCGCCCGCCCCGCGTTGCGGGCCCGCGGCGAGGTGAGGGGAGGGAGGCCGGGCGGGCGGGCGCGGCTGCACGCGGCCCCGCGCACAAAGGGGAGCGGAGCGCCGAGCGGGCGCCGCTCTCTGCGGCCGCGCGGAGGCTGGGGAGGCCCGGGCCGCGCCCCCGCCCGCC